ACGTGCATGTGGCTTATATCAAGGCCGGCGTTGGCAGTTGTCTTGCTTGTGAAAAAAATAATACTTAAAGAAGAAAGAAAAGGAAAGCTACCTTTTCTTTTGGGGCCAATTTGAAACCAGCTTCCAGAGTCAGTGATGTCACGTTGTGGGTGTGTATGAAGCGCATAGGATGGGACCGGTAGAAAAGGCACCGACGATGCGGCCATTCTTACTGTTGTTTTCAAGCAGCACTGCGCTCTGGCACATCTCCCTTGGGGTAGCAGAGAAGCCTGGCCACTGTGGAATGAAGCAGCAAAGCCTCCCACAGCCCCGCCGAGCCCCTCAGACCCAGCTGGCTCCCATGTTGTCCCTCAGTTCTCTCCTGACCTCTGTCTTGTGTCTGGTGGCTCGCCTGCATTCACCCCGCCAGCCCCAAACACTTTTCCCCATGCTCCTCTTTAGATTGGAAGCCTGCTGGCCAGGCGGGTCCCAGGATTTCAGCACCTCGGGCCCTCCAGGCCACCATGGAGGGTCCCAAGACGAATTAGAATACCTCGTTCTTCCTCCTGTTCTTGAAAGGGAGGATGGCGGGGGCGGTAGAAGCCGCGAGCAAGTGACTTTGGTGCTCTGTCAGCACGTCTGCAGTGCCCACTCTGAATTTTGCCGGATGCAGTGGTTTACACCGGGCAGGACCCCAGGCAGAGGGTGAGGCTGCCAGGCCGGCACAGGCATTTCTGTTTGCTGAGTAAGTGTACCAGACCCCCTCTGAGCAGGCACTCTGCTTGACAAGTAGGTGACTAATTGTGTCATTAGAGTGGACTCTAACCAGCCTGCAGAGGGCTGTGGTGTTTGTCCCAGGAGGGTCAGGGACTCTGGTTTAATGAGAACTAGCGTTCTGTGCGGGGAACCGAGGCCCAGCTGTTCTTGCTAACCTCACCCCTGGCGATGGCAGGTAGGGTTTGGACGAGTGCTGATAGGTTAGGTTTGCTCACATTTTTGGAGTTCCTGGCTCTTGGGAAGGGGAGAGGTGTGGGGCTGTTCTCAGGCTGCTGCTTGCTCGAACTCAGCCCTTCGTCTCCACTTTACGCCGTGGCCTTTAACCACCCAGCCACAGCTTCTAGTGCAGGGGACCCCACTGTTAGGAACAGGCCGCACAGCAGGAGGTGATCGGCAGACCAGTGAGAAAGAAGCTTCATCTGTGTTTGCAGCCGCTCCCCAGTGCCTCAGCTCCATCTCAGGTCATCGGGCATGAGATTCTCACAGGAGCACCGGTGCCTGGTGCCACAGAGGTTGGGGACCGCTGCTTTAGGGGCGCTCAGCCCTATCTTGATCCCCTGGGTTACAGCCCTTCTGAAGGAACTTTCTGCAAGGCCATTGGACTCTCTGCAAAATGATATCTCATGTAACGGACTTAGTGTCATTGTGTAAATAGCAGCCCAGGACAATTGGTCTCGTCCGGGGGAAAGCGAGGGCGAGCGAGTGCTTCGAAGGACAAGACGCCTTCCAGAGGTTCACGTGGCAGGCGCAGACTCAGGTGCTCCCACAGCTGATGCCAGTGCTCGCTTATGACACCTGATCTGAGATAATCCTCCCAACTCCAGAATCAAGTTGTAGTCCGTGTCCTCACTCGGCGTGAGGTCTTGCCCTTCCCTTTTGGGTTCAGATCCCCAGCCCTTTTTGAGCTGGCACGCCCCCCTCAACTCTAACTGGCAAGCAGGGGCTGGGGGCAAGGACCCCGGGTACCCACCGTTACCCCACCTTTCAGTGGTGGGCTTTCTTTTGGAAGAAGCTGCTAAGAGATTGTCTGGAAATGGACGCTGGCATTTTCAAAAGCAGTTCCCAGTGCTGCCTTCTGATTGTCATACTGCCCGAGCCTGCAGAGCTGGCCGGAAGGACCCCTGAGGTAAAGAACTCAGGTTGGTGGCTTTTGGGGGAAGCAGAGGGTGAGGCCCTCAGCCAGCCTCCTTGTCTCTCACTGAGTGAGGGGCAGCAGGGGAGAGGAGAGAGGGAGCCGGAAGTCACTGCCCTCGGGAGCAGCACTTAAGTCGCCTCTCCCCTCCCCCCTCATCTTCCATTAACCGCATCCCTTCTAATCCAATCGCGAGGCCGAGGCCCGGGAAGCCTGGGGCAGCTGCTGCCTCTGCCTCGCAAAGCTGATTACTGAGAAGGATCTGGAGCCCCGGGAAGCAGCCTTCCGCTGGGGCTGTGGCCTGCTAGGAAGTGTCCTGGAGAGTTGGGACACCTAACGGCAACGGAAGAAATGGGGGTAGGACGGCGGGGCGGGGAACCGAGCACAGGGCAGTTACAGCATTAGAACCTCTCTTCGTTCTCTCTCGGGTTAGTGTGGGGTGGGCGGCGGAGGAAGCAAGACGGGCGTGCCCCACCCTCGTGAAGAATTATGACACGCGAGGTCCAGAGCAAGAGCTGGTCTTTTTTACGGCCAAGAAACAGTGCTTCTTGGTGCCGATGTGTAGGTTGGGGTTCTAGGATCGCCAGGTTCCTACTTCATGGCGGTGTGGGTTCCAGTAAGGCCCTATCTTAAGATTCCGGAACAGTGGTCAAGAGCGAAGGGTCAAGGGTCATTCGAATGGCGTTAGAGCGAAATCGCCGTCTCTGTGCCAGAGCTCCACTTGGCCCTCGTGTCCTAGCTGTACTGAAAAACTGAGTAGAGACTTCCTATAGGGCAGCTGGCCAGTGTCACCAAACACAAAACAGGCAGGGAGATTCCTCTGTATTAAGGGAGACGCTAAACAGACACAACAGACAAATGCCATGTCTGATCTTTGATTGGATTCTGGATCAGAGTCGGGGTGGGGCGCTATAAAGAACATTGGGGAGACAATGGGGACATTTTTCAAAAGAATGGTTTATTAGGTCATTGTATCGTGTCGAAGCTCAGTTTCTTGAGTGGGATGCTGGGGCTGTGGTTACGGAGAAAAATGACCTTGTTCTCAGGAAGATGCATACTGAAGCATTACGAGATGACACATCGTGATTCAAACAGGCAAACACACACACAAGTGTGGGTGTGTCTGTAGACAGAGAAAGCATAGATGGCAAAATGTTAACGCTTGATGAATCTAGATGAAGGGCATGTGAGTGTTCGTTGCATTATTCTTGCAACTTTTCTGTGGGTTTGGAATTTTTTAAAATATGGTGCTGGGAAGAAGGAACTTGCCCAGGAAATTTTTTCGGATACGCTGGTATCCAAAACAATGCTCCAGCCACGCGGCCTCACCTGTCCGTCCTCGCCTTTCTGAAGCTGCCCTGCTGCTAGGTCCCTTTTGGGTCCCCTACCCTCACCAGCAGGTGTGCCCCGCCCCAGCCGAGAGCCCCTAGCCTTCCCAGAATGATCGAGTAGCAGGTGAATCCCCTCCCCCGTCATCAGTCCTGACCTTGGTGATGTCATCGTGGCCCTACTTGCTGTTCCCTCAACAAAGGCGGAAGCCAGCTCAGAGAGGGCCGAGCAGATATTTGGCAGTCGTTCATCTCACTTTGGAATCTTGTCTCTGTCAGCTCGGGCTGCTATGACAAAATGTCACAGACTGGGTGACTGAAACAATAGACATTTATTTCTCACAGTTCTGGAGGCCGGAAGTCCAAGATCAAGGCTTCCTGGCTTAGACACCAGCGCCTTCTTGCTGTGTCTACATGGCGGAGACAGAGCTCCAGTCTCGTCTTCTTATAAGGGCCCTAATCCCAACGGGGGGGTCCCCGCTTTAATCCTAATTACCTCCAGAGGCCCCACCTCCAAATGCCATCACTGGGGGGGGTTGGGGTCCAATGTATGGATCCTGGGGGACACAATCTGTCTAGAACAGGTCTAGTGATTTGCTGAGAGCAAAACTGGAAATAATCCAAATGTCCATTAATTAGGACATTGGTTAATTAGCAAATTGGTCAAATAAGTAAGGGGAAAAGCAGGACATAAATCAGGAATAATGGGTTCGCAGTAATTACTATGATGAATGCTGACGGAGCAGTTCAGTGCTCAGTAGGGCGACAGTGTATCTTTTGTAAAGTTGTTTAAGCTCATAATTTAATTTGTTTTCAAATGAGAAAAAGTCCGGGGTGGGGGGCGCTTTCCTGATGGTTAAACTTTGTTCTTTCTTTCAGAGAAAGAGAGTTTTATTTGCACATAGAAGAATTAGCTGTTAGAATTTTCTACTTAGTGAGAAGTAATGCACTTTTATTTTTTAATTTTTTATAAGCTTTTTAAAAATTATTATTATTTTTTATTTTTTTAGGCAAAGCAACCCTTGGTTGACCTCACAGATTGCAAGGACCTTGTCAGCTTACAATCTTTTACTTTTTTATTTATTTTTTACACCTACAGCACCTGGTTTTCCTAGGTGGTCTCCCATCCAAGTACTAACGAGGCCCGACCCTGCTTCGCTTATGAAGTAATACATTTGTAAAGAACGTGTCTTAAGAAGAAAGTTGCCTAGCTTTGGGGACTTAGAAACAAAATGTTGGGCATGGTCACTTCTAGATTCTCCTCTGCTGCTCTGCTCTTTCCCAGGGAGTCAGCCCAAAGCACAGCTTGGGAGGGATGAGAGCGACCAAGGACATTTCTTGAGAACTGCCAAACCGCTGCTGGTCAGAGCCTCTCTGGAACAACCTGAGTCTGACCACACTCGGTCTGCCACTCTTAGGGTCAGAGAAATGGGGCTGGACTCTGACCGGAGTCAGAAGCCCCCTCCGAGACGGGGCTGACACACAGACACAGCGCTTTGCTGGCGTTCTGATCACTCGGTGCCTGGTCAGGGCTGACGAGGCTTCGGTCACTTGGTCCAGGCCACAGTGGCTGAAGAACAGCTAATGCGATTCCATGGTCCAAAGGACACACAGTGCAAGAATTCACGGAGCTTGTCTATCTGATATTTTGCTTCTGAAGGGCCATAGGACTGGGGGAAGTCACTTAATCTTTGGACCTCAGTTTCCCCATCCACCAAAAGAAGGGAGTAAACTAAAGTGATGTCTGATACCTCTTAGATATCTGGCCATGTTCTCAGCAAGGGCCTAATTCTGTGACCTTGGTATTCGTAGGTTTTCTCCTGGCCAGATTCTCTGCTGAAGACTCAGAGTCTGAGCTCAATCTCAGGACAAGAAAATGCCTCCAGCCCAGTGCTAGCCTGAAAAGTAGAACCTTACTGCAGGCTCAGGCCATTCTTATCCTTGTTCTTCGTGAAGCCTAAAGTGGGTCCTTTTCCCACGGTCGAGGCCTCTCAAGGAATTTTAAACCCTGGCCACCTGTCTTCTCTTATCATCCTCAAAGTTAGTCATCTCAGCCTGGATGTCCCCAACACGATGATTTCACTTCCTCCCTCCCTCCTACAGCTCATTTTGTCCGTCCCTTGGTTTTCTTCCCGGGGCTCTACCTTTTCTATTTACCCCAAAAAAGTAGGGACTGGATTGGCCCTAATACCTGCTGATAAAGGTCGGGGAGAGAGCTGGCTGCCGCCCCAGGGTGGTTTTTCATGAAGCTTTTGATGTCCTCTAAATCCCCTTTGTAGGAAAGATGCCAAAAACCCTTAATCTGAGAGGATTGAATCTGGCGTGACTGTGACTGATCCTCTGAGCGAGAGACAGTGTTCAGGGCTTGTGACCGAGTCCTCCGTGGGGGTGTGAGGTGGAGACCAGGAAGATTCTTTTCGTCTGGATGTAGGAGCGCAGGGCCCTGCAGCCTGGCTCCACACCGTCCTAGGGGGTGTATAATGTGAACCCTAAACCTCAGTCTCTCCCTCTCTCTCCCCCTCCCCGCCCCACCCTTGGGTTGGGACTCACTTACCCAGTGCCCTTCCTTTGCTCTTTGTCCCCAAAAGACAAAGAAAAGCTTATTCCCATAACATCAAGGGAGGCGGCATTGAGAAGAGTCTATGCTGTCCCCGTGGCGTGCCCTCTGTCCCCCCCCACCCCCCCGTGCTCTGCATCTCAGACTTCCCCCACTGCCCCGCAGCTGCTCAGGCCCAGATCCGGGGTCACCCTTCTTTCTCTTTCTCCTTCTGCCGCCCACAGTCACACAGCCACTCGGTCAGCAAGTCCTGGCACCTCTGTCTCCAGAAACCTCCTGAATTCGGCCGCTTCTCTCCATCCCTCTGGCCAGGGCTCCAGTTCCATGGCTTACCCAGGCTGTTCAGGAACCTCCGCACTGTCTCCCCTACTTCGGCCTCCCCTCGTGCCACACCGTGACCTCGCTCACAGAAACCGCCCCTCCAGTTCTCCTGCGAAAGCCCTCCAGCGGCTTCGTCGCGTGCAGAATAAATCCCAAACTCTCATCACAGCCCCTAAGCCCGCAGGACCCTGCGGCTCTGCCTCCTGTCCCAGGGGACCCCCGCCCCTCCACTGGAGCCCCGGAGGCCTCCCCGGTGCCCAGACACGCCAGGCCCACGCCACGTCTGGACCCTGGCATTTGCCACTCACTCCGCCCGGCCGGCCCTTCCCAGCCGAGATTGTCACACGCTCGCTCCCCCTCACCTGTCAGGTCCGTGTCCTTGACCATCTTAGCGGGGGCAAAGTGTTGGCACTCACGCGTCTGAAGTCCTCTTGGATTTCGGTGTGCATTGTCTGCTGCGGTGGGATGTCAGCTCATGGGCACACGGTGGCTCCCACTAAGCACTTCTTGAATGACTAAGCCCCAATAACAACAGAAAGAAAGGGAAAGAAGCACTGTCGGCTTTTGCCAACGGGCAGGTGCTGCCTCCTCATAGGACGGCCCTGGGCAGCGGCAGGAGCCGCCTCGATTCATGCCCCAGGCCGCGACTGCCTTGCCTACTACGCACACCCCAGAACTACATATTATGCCCCAAAGGGGCAGATGCCCTGGAAGGTAGTGAGCTCCCCGAGGCTAGACGTGTTCACTCCGAGACTGGATAACCGGCATTGGTTTTATTATCAGAGTTTTGTAGTGAGTCGAAGCCACGTTAAGTCACTTGTTTCCTGACATTTTTTTAAAGCACTGATATCTTTTTTTTGTCTTTGATCGTAGATGGAAGGCCAGTGCATAAAGCAGAGGCAGAACTCTCCCGGGGTGGGGTTGGGGGGGTCTTGGCCCCTCTTCCTCCCCCTCCTCCTCGCCACAGTCCTTGCAGGACCCCCACAGAGCTCAGGGCGGTCCAAGGCTCAAGCCAGATCCTGCGACCTCAGAGGGAGGCAGGTGGACGGCCCAGAGGGGAGCAGGGAAGGACGGATGCTGTGCCCGAGGGAGGCCTTGGTCCCAAGGGTGAACCTAAGTGCCAGCTGTCCCCCCACCCCCACCCCGTGGCGCACCCAGTGGGTGGGACAGGAGAGTGCTTCGCAGTAATCCCTTAGGGACTGGCCTCGCCAAGTCTGGAAGCAGGACGGACGAGTCAGAACGCTGGGGACGATTTGAATTGCACGTGGCAACCGTCACTCTGGGGTTCGGAGCAGGGAAAGCCTCAGAAAGGCAGCACGTTAAGGTGTTCTCAGAGCAATGAGTTGGAGGAGAGTGAGGTCACAGGCCCTGGGCCGCATGACGGAACTGAGAGGCTGTGGCAGGACCGTGAGTGAGATGGCGGGTCCCAGAGACCTTTCGAAGGCCGGGGAGAGTCGCGAAGTCAGAATGGACGCGTCAAGCGTGAATCCACCTTCCTAGGCCATGAAGAAGTGTCACGGGTGCTGCGACCACAGAGAAACCCTGACGAGTTGAGAGGGGGCCAGTTTGGGACGAGAAGACATTAGTTTCTTGTCACCGGACTGCAGATATGGCTTTAGAGGGATGGCCTGAGCGCCTTGGGCCTGGAGACGCCATTCGGAGGCCTGCGGTGGCTGAGCTGATTCGATGGTGCCTGTGCAGAGTCCGCCGTGACCTCTGCCGGGCCCCTCCCGCCTAGCACCACGCTGGCACCGGCTCTGCTGTCTCGGCTCACCCCAGGCCTGCGGGCCGCTCCGAACACAGAAGATGAACAGCCTGATTGCCTAACGCTCCCGGAGGGAGGGAGCTGCCAGGCCCGCCGTGCCCGCGGTGGGAGCGGGAGGCAGCCCTTGCCCATCTGGCCACCCTCCAGAGATGGGGGTCCACCCAGTCTGCAGGGCAGAGCATGAAGGCCCCTTGACAGCCTCCTGTTGTCTCCGTCCTTGCCCGCTGCAAGGGGGAGGGAGGGGCCGGCATGCCCGGGGGAGTCAGGCCTCGCTGTCTGCCCGCCGGGTGGAGATGTGGTCCTCTAGCGTCATTCCGGATTCACGAAGGGGGTTGGCGTAGTCACAGCAGGAGGCAGCTCAGGTGGCTGGTCACAGTGTCCCAACGGATCTCGTTTGCAGGACCCAAGGGTAGAACCATCTCCTCGTCGGTACACAGACAGAAAGATACCCGTGTCTCTCTCTGTCTCTAATTCTCTGTCGCTTTGTCCCTGTCTCTCTGTGTCTCTCTTTGCCTTTGTCTCTGTCTCCCTCTCTCCCTCCTCCCTGTTCAGCACGGTCTGCCAGGCCTGGATCAGCCAGGGCAGCCGTAAATGGCAATGCGCTGCCTGCAGGGGCTCCTAGAAGCCCCCCTCTGAGTCCCTCTGCGCCCCACAGGCACCTGCCTTACCCTCTGCCACCCCTTCTCTCTTCGCCGCTGGGAGACCTGGGTCTTGGGCTCCTGGCTTTGGTGAGGTGTCAGGGGGTACTTTCCTGTGCTTTGTGCCCCTCCCCACAACAGTCCCCTCCTTTGGAGGAAAAACTGAATTAGAAAAGTATCCCAGAACTTGTGAAGTGTAAACTAGTCTCTGTTCAGTCGTAGAATGCTGAGGCTCCAGTCAGTGGGGTGGCTGGGATTGGGTCTCAGCCCGGGTCTGCTTGGGGGACCAGCCAGGATGACGCCAGCTGTCTGCCTCAGAGGGTGTCGCCAGTTCGCAATGTTCATTAAATTGATTTACTTTCATGACAGCAGGGGGCATTTGTCGGCTCAGGCCGCCAGAACAAAGGACCCCAGACTGGGCGGCTGAAACCGCAGACCTTGCTTTTCTCCAGAACCGTGAGGTCGAGGTGGCGGCAGCTTTGGTCTCTCCTGAGACCCTCTCCCTCGCTGCCGCGTCCTCACACGGCTTTTCCTCCCGTGGTGTCTCCCCGTGGGTCCAAACGTCCTCTGCTTAGAAGGGCGCCAGTCAGGTTGGATGAGGGCCTCCCTAGTGGCCTGGTTTTAACTTAAGTACCTCTTTAAAGACCCTCTCTCCAAATACAGCCACTGTCTCAGGTCGGGGGAGGGGCGGTTAGGACCTCGACACATGGATTTGGGGAGGGGCACAGTCCAGCCCATACACATGGGCACCATGTAGCACACAGGACCAGGGACACTGATGGGCAGTCGGCAGTGATGGCCTTTTGTGAGGTTCACGGTCAGCACTCTGAGCAGCCACCAGGTTGGTGCTGCTCCCAGGCGTGGTCCTGGCCGAGCTGTGAGGCATGGCTGCCCCAAGAGTGGGACTCAGACCTCGAGACCCCAAGGGGTCGCTTCTGGCTAACTTCAGCCCATCCTTCACTGACTCAATAAACACAGAGCTGAGGGCCGCGTTCTGTTAGCCTCTTAGCTCATAAATGCGGAGCCTTCTTGCCAGTGCGTCCCACACGCCGCTCCAAAACGCAGCTCCCATCCTGCGCCTCCCGTTGAAAAGCTTCGGTGGCCCCTCCTGTCCTCTAGCTCTCCAAGGTCCAGGCCCTGCATCCCTGACCACCTCCCTTCCCTCCCTGCAGTCACGCCGGACTCCAGAGAGTCACCGGGAAGGCTGTAGTGTCCCACGCCTGGCTCAGAATTCTCACGCCCTCCGTGGCCTCCCCTGTAGCCCTCGGGCTCAGCCCAGCTCCCCTTCCTCCAGGCCCCTCTGTGTCTCTTGGCTGCACAGTGTGGTCCTGAAAACACACGCAAAGCCGTGTGTGTCAAAGCAGACGGAAGACGGAGCGTGCGGTCCCACGGCGCCAAGGTCAGACCCCGGCGGCCCAGGACGCGAGACCCCGGCCCTGACCGCGCAGCTCTCCCGTGCTGTCCCCGGCCCTGACCACGCAGCTCTCCCGCGCTGTCCCCGGCCCTGACCGCGCAGCTCTCCCGCGCTGTCCCCGGCTCTGACCGCGCAGCTCTCCCGCGCTGTCCGCTGTCTGTTTTTCCTTCTCTTCGCTGTCGCACACGAGTTCACCACCGTGATGCTTCACTGGCCTGGGGCTGAAGCCCGCCACCTCCAGGAGGAAATAAGGGCGAAACGCAAAATCAATGATGTTTTACTTTAAAAAATAACAATGGAGTCCTTTCCGTTAGTTCGACGTTATCTGAAAGCCCACTAATAGCCCAGATAAGCGTGAGGCTCTGGGGTGCCTCCCTGGGGCACAACTTGGAAACCTCTTCATTGTGCTACCTGCCCGCCCCCTCACCCCCCCTGCTGTGCCTCTGGAACCTGATGCGGGCAGCCCCGCCCCAGGAGAACTTCAGACGTTCTGGGTTTGCAAAGTGGGGTATGAGTGGACGGTGACGGTGGTCAGGGGCCCTCTGGCTGTCGGGGACAGGAACTCAGCTCAGGTGGCTCACATCACATGCAGCAGAAGGCAGGTGTGAGGTGGCCCCTGGGGCCTCCCCCCCAACACCTCCTGCCCCAGCTCCTGGGCTCACAGCTCTGGGACCACAGGTCCCTCGTCCCGAAGCAGAAGTTGGGCCTCTGGGTCACGTCCACATCTGGTGCGTGGAGGGGGTGGAGTCCCACTGTCCTGATTGACAGTTCCCACTGGGACCACGGGCTTCAAGGGGCGGAGAGGGATTCTGTGCAGACAGAAAACAGCAAGCGGCCAGTTCGGCCGTGTTTCCTAAACTTATATTAAGTCTCCCACTGAAAAATTGATTTTCGTTTGCCGCCCCATAGATAAAGGCACAGAATCAGTCCAGAGGTGTTGTAAAACTCTGTCTACCTCTGCCCCGCACACCATGCTATTTACCTTTAATCTAGTTCAGGGATACAGGGGCACCCCCAAAGTCTTAGTGACGTTTTAAGTTTCGACAACTTAAGAAGTGTAAATGCTACAAACCTACCAACACGCTGGTCGAATATTTACTTATTTAAATGTCTCTTACACTTAGTTCTCTGACATTTGAATGCTAAGTTTTTCATTTTTATTTGTTGCGTGTGCCAGAATCTGGAAGGATGGGCAGAGAGAGGAGGCCTCGCCCCTGGGCACCTTGGAGACCTGGTCAACCTCCCTTGTCACCGGGTCCGAGCTGTCATGTGTGCATCAAGTCCTCTTACGGCCGAGGTCACAAAGGCCGTCCCTTTAGACATTGACCATGAATGTGTTTTTCAAAGTCTGAAAACCAACTCGAGCCTCGTACGGCACTAGGTGGTGGTATTATATGGATTGGAGTGAGAAACATCAGTATATTTCAAATGTAAATAACCTTTCAAATGTCATTTTTTTGTTATGTTTGTAGCATTTATGCTTCTGAAGTTATTAAAGCTTAAAATCATTCGAAGACTGGCTGCACATTTTTTTAAAAGCTGGTAGCAACTACTAAATTGCTTTCATGACCCACCGAATGGGTCACAATCAGTTTAAAAGTCACCGCTGTCCAAAGCCAACTGTGGAATCCAAATGTAGAGCAGCCTCTCCCCTGGAGGGTGTCGGCCGGTCGACGGGTGCCGCTTCCCTTTGGGGTGACGGGGTCTGCCATGGCTCTTGGATTTCTCACCCTGGGTGGCAGTTATTTGCGTATATGTCTTTTCTACAGGACCATGAGCTCCTCAAGGACAGGGACTGTGCTGGTTTTTGTTGTTATTTTTCTTTTAATCTTCATGTCCCTCAAACGTAATAGGAGAATCAATCTCCTCTCTGGTCTCAATATTAAAATACTTTCTGGGATCCAGCCCTGTATAGGTTAATGGCTGTTTGTCTGTCTTTTTTTTTTTTTTTTTAAATAAAGAAAAAATGTAATAGCCCACTCTTACTGGTCAGAAACTGCTGTAAAGCATTTTAGAAATTTGCGAGAGTGATTCCTACATATTTAGAGAATCCAAATGATACTGAAATGTGTTGGATGACAAGGCTGATCCCCAGCTCCTCTCCCCAAAGGTAGCCACTGGTAACAGTGTCTCGTGTGTCCTTGCAAAAAATGTTTTCCCTGTGCTTACAGGCACTTTCGTTTTAATGTTTACACCGAGAAGACTGCCGTCCTCGCGCTGGGCTGCTGCTTGCTTTTTCGTCTTGCTAATTTGTCTGGAGGCATTTCTACATCACGACGTCTGCTTCCCTCCTTTTTATTTTTTTAATTTTTTTTTTTTTTTTTTTTTTAGGCAAGGACCTTGTCAGCTTACAATCTCTTACTTTTTACGCCTACAGCACCTGGTCTTCCTAGGTGGTCTCCCATCCAAGTACTAACCAGGCCCGACCCTGCTTAGCTTCCGAGATCAGCCGGGATCGGGCTGGTTCAGGGGGGCGTGGCCGTACACATGCTCGCCTCCTTTTTAATGCACCGCGTTGCATGGTATACGTGCACCATCATGTCCTTAACCCGTTAATATTTTGGTGAACATATTAACCAGCTATACTTCACTATAATCTATTTAACCCTACAGATGGACATTTAGTCGTTTCGGGTTTTGTCTTGTTTTCTGCTGCCCACAATCGGAATCATTATATAAAAACCCGGGTAGCAGGTTCTGAGTCCAGAGCAGCCTTAGAAGTGGGTTTGCTGAGCCCACGGCGTGTCTCCTTTGTGGCGTGAAGACGCTTTGTGTGCAAACATTGGGAGGTGCCTGGACACCGAAGCCCCAGGTACTGACCAGTGCTCAGGGCAGCATCGCCCACACCGAGGTGGTGCCGAGGCTCAGTGGAGAGGGGCCGGCTCCCGTGTCCCACCCAGCTCTTCCCGGCTGCATTTTGTGTGGTCCAGGCGAAAGTCACAAGGGACTCGCGGCCCTTCGAGGTTTGGCTGCTGGGCTTGTGCAAACTTTGCCTCCCAGCTCAGCTTGCTCTGTTTAGTTTGGCGCCTGCCTGACGCTCAGTGCTCCAGCTGCAAACCGGCCGGACGCCAGAACCAGAGTCCTAAACGCCTGGGTTTGGATTTGTCCCCTGTGCTGGCTTCTCCGCTTTGGGGCAGCTCCTTCATGTTCGTGCCCCCCACTCTTAAATCTGCCGGTGTTTGCATATTCGCCCACTGGGCTTCTAAGTGATGGTTCCTCTGGCAGTAGGTCCCCCTTCCCTCCCATGCCACACCCTTCAAGCCCTCACGGCTGAAGCACATCCCTTTC